CGGGAGGAAGAAGCGCGGAGCCGAGAAGGAGCCGCGCGTGTCGTAAACGCCGAGGAGAGATCGAGGCGAGTAGGTCGAACGGTACGGAGCGACGCTCGGAGAAATGGAAACGATATATGTCACCGTACACCGAACGCGCCCACGCGGAGAAATCCTGCGGACGCCGACCGGTCAGATATCGACTGTTACTCGACACGAGTACTCCCGGTACTCGTCCCTCGAGCGCCGAGCGCCGCATCGTGTAACTCGTATCGTGTACGTAACTCTAGCAAGCGCTCCGCCGCCCACGAGCGCGGGAACGGATAATTAATAGCTCATTCGACAGAATATTAATGTCCGCGCGATGTCGGTGACATCATTAACGAGGTTGACGAGGTTGACGAGTGTGTGACGGCGTGTTTTATTTCGCGCCGCGACAACGTCAACGTCAACGACGATCGGCACTTTCTTTTTAGCCTTGGCAGACGCTACAAACGCTCCTCCGATTATTTCCAATGGAAAAAGAAAAGCGGGCTAATAATGAGGTAGAGCGAGGTTTCGAAGTGCAGCGGCGGGTTTTCCACTCGCGATCAAGCGAGTTGCGGTTAAGCGCCGTCGCTTCTACGAGATTAGCGCGAATTGAGCACCAGCGGATTTCTCCAGCCGCGCGCGTAAATGCGGTCGCGTATAAACGTACGTTTTCTCCGGATCTTCATTAGACGAGATCGCGATTTGTTCGTGTCACGTGAACGTTTAATCGGTCGTTTCACGCTCAGTATAGTCTTAATCCAATCCCGGACAGCTTGCACGAAATTTACCAGCCGCGAGTTTTCACGTGCCAGAAAATAGAAATTTCATTATTGAAAATATTATATAATGCGATTAAAAATGCGATAAAAATTATTGAAAATATACTTTATAACTGTTATCCAATTATTTATTTAATGTTTCGATCACCATTGACAAAATGTCAGTTTCTTTTATGTATTTATTTGTCAGAGTATTTATTCAAACGCGGAAAAAAATTCCCTGAGAATTCTCTAATTTTCAAGGTAATTTGTTAAAAATTCCAAATAAAATAAAAATGCTTTTAAATAAATCTTACAAATAAATATATATATTTATTGCGCAAAGTGCTTTTTTCATTCACAAACGTTTAAATCGTAAAATAAAATTAAGTATCACTCGAGTTTCAATAAATAAATTTGAATAATTTTGAAAGAAACTATAAGAACTCCAAAAAATAAATATTTTATATTGCATACAATTTTCAAGCTTTATTTCCGAAAGCTACAAACAAAATATATTACCGGTATAGAATTCAACTTTTATAAAAGTAGTAAAATAAATATCCGTTTTATTAAATAAAATTGCATCTAACACGAAATCATTATCCTGAATACTGAATTGAAATGCGTTAGTCGTAAAACCAACGTCCTCTAATCAATTACAATGTTACAATAGATCCACTATTATCTACTATTAACAATTCAGTCGATAAACTCCCGATTAATAACATAAGGATAAAATATTAAAAAAGCAACAAAAAAATTCCCTAAGAATTTCTTGATTTTTCAAGGCACGAACGAAATTTCTTGAGAATTCCTAGCTCTAGGTTTTTCCATGTAGTAAACACCTCCTGTTTTTCAGACTTATTTCAAAGTCATAAATTACAAATGATATCGAATACATTTCTGAATGAAGCGTAGTAAAAAAATAAAGGTACTCTCTCTCTCTCTCTCTCTCTCTCTCTCTCTCTCTCCTCCCGCAAGTGGTTCTCTGCGAGAACGCGTCTGATCGCGGAAATTCGATTGGCTCAGAGAGACGTGCACGCGATCGGATCGATATATATTATGACCTCTCGACGGAATAATACTCTATCCTCGGTGGAGGTGCAACCCGTGATAGCTTTATCGATCAGCGATGCGAGCGGGATTACGTTACCACGCGCCTCATTCGCCTCCACCGAATGCACGTGTGCCGCATACGACTGATATACGCGACATCGGCAGTATCGGCACGATTTAGTTATCGAATGTCACTACAAAAGTGACACCGCGTAATCGGCCGGCCTCGATCGAGCGATCAAATAGGGAATTATTAATGTGACGATCGCGAGTCAATTACTCGCGCGACGCGATAATCACGACGATCTTCCTTCCGGACGTCGTAATGGCATCTGGACCCGCGATTTCAGTTCGAATGTCTACATACATGAATTTTTTAAAGATAAATCTACTTTTGTATCTACTCCTATAATATTTCTAAATTGTTTGCTACATTGCGTTTTAATTTTCTATAATATTGAAAGAAACATTAGCTTATAACATTTGCTTTACAAAAATATAGTTTTTTTTTCCTTCCTATCTTTTTTAAAAAAAAAAAAGATAATTATTTAATTAGCATTTTTCATTTATAACCAATTTTTGAATATAATATAATTTTCCTTTTTTTAAATACTATCTTCTGTATCTTGTTATTTCCTTATTCTTTATTTCTCAACACGAGCTTGTTCTAATTTTACTTTTCACCTCTTTCTTTCACTCCTTTTAAATATTAAAAATTATTTAAATATCGCGATCACGGAATGAAATAAATTTTCTATATTTGAATTTTGTGTATTATTACAACTTTTCCATCGCATTCATGCGATCATTATAGACGATGCACCTTAACATCGAGCTCGGTTCGCTCGAGACTTATCTCGATTCGGAGTCATTCTATTTCGAGTTCGGTTCCGTTCGAGCGGCGCGGCAGAATGAACACGATTTTAACGAGGCGTGGCGGAGAGGAAAAACGGCAGAGTGGCGTGAAACGCGGTTAAAAGTAATGCGGATGTGGCCTCTCGGATTACGTTTCTCCGGGATCTCCTCCGGGCTTTTCTGTGCTCTTCCTCCCG